GGGTGCAGCCCAGGACACGGTTGGCTTTCTGGGCTGTGAGTGCACATTGCTGGCTCAGAGTCAGTTCATCCATTAATACCCCCAAGTCCTTCTCTGCAGGGCTGCTCTCGATCCACTCATTGCCCAGCCTGTATTTCTGCTGGGGATTGCCCTGACACATATTGTAATTACAAATAAGAAACACATTCTTCTGTTGGAAACATCAAATTTTAGTTGCACATAGGTTATCTAAGCATGGTATGTCTTTTTTCATTTATAACTCATAACTTTTCTGGTGTTGTAAGCAATTTAGTATACGTTATCAATAAGGTTACTTTATGAGAGCAACTCAATTATCCAGAAATTATTTTTCAGATGTGAAAGCAGATAACTGCATGAATTCATTCCAATTTCCTCTCAGTCAAGATCAGACAGATGGCACAGCCTAATTATACCTGGACTACTGCACTTTAGACAATTAATCTGAAAGCCATTCTGAAATCAAGAAGCAACAAAATTCAGCCAAAATATCCACTAAAATGAAGATAAAATAAAAAACTTCAGGACAGCCAGTTATGATTCAGTAGTTGACTAATCAATCATTTTGTAGTAGTAGAAATTTGGTGCATCCAATTTTATTTTTGTACATAGAACTGAAGTTCTAAATCACAGACAATTTTCCAGACATCATTACTAATCCAGATGTTGGAACAATTAATAGAAACACAAGTAGCTATCACTACCTTTAAGAAGTAGCTTTGTTAATCATTTAAGTAGTAAAGACTATTAACTAAAATAATGTACTCAACACAGAAATGTGACTCTTTCATACCACTCTGTATGTAAATTAATGAATTTTCATTCCTTTCTCCAGTTACTTGGAAGAAGGTTCTACAAGGAGTCCTAAAACTATTAACAATAATCCCACAGTATGTAATGATACTATATAAATTCATAGAACTGACTTGCATAAAGTAACCGATTCCTGTGACTTTCAAATGTTAAAGACATCTTCTTTACTATACTGCAAGAAAAAGCGCTTTTTTTTTTTAATAGACATATTCAAAGCATGCAAATTGCATACATAACCAGTGGCAATTCAACACAACAAACAAGAAAATGAGTTAATTAACGCACGGGTATTATTTTTGTTACTGGAGCAGCTATAAGATTTTCAGAAAGGAACAGGTAGGTACATCGAAGAGATAAAATGTTGATTAGGGCCTGGAAGGGAGCCTGTTAGCATGCATTAAAAACGTCCCACCCACTCAGCTGAGACACAGTAGTGAATCATATAATATACTACATTGCAAAATACAGCTATATTAAAGCTACCTTCAACAAAATGTACCCATTTGACTGTCAGGCAACCTATGCAATGATTAGGCAAACACAAGTAATTCATGCCAACTATGTAACGGTAACTACACCGCAGACATTAACCAACAGCAGAAAATGTTCTTCCAACTCTTTACTCACTTTCAAAGGCTAATCTGGTAAGAAGCTACAAATGTAGGGGAAGACCTAGCAGCTCCTTGCATTGAGCAATGACATAAAATGGAAATTAAACCAGCAATGTAAGGGGAGCACACTGGCCAAACAGCACCTCAAGCACCCCCTGCCAAACCTACCTGCAGCTCTTTTACAACCCGCTTGATGAGGTAAGTCCCAAGTTCCACACCTTGCAGTCCCTGCTGAGTCAAACTGATTGAGTAGAAAATTGCTGTTGTAATTTTGTCTGTATCTTCTGTTTCTAAAGGTGGCAAAAAAAAAAAAAAAAAAAAAAAAAAAAAAAGAGTTAGTAGTAGCTACCATCACCATGGGGGCAGGGCCTTTCTTTTTAACTCTCGAATGTGTTAACACATTTCCCCTCTGTTTTATTCGTTACCCTCTGTGAGGAACAACAAAAATCTAATCAAAACGTTGAAAGAAGAGCTGCTTATCCATTAGCAATACAGGAAGTAATTGTAACATGGTTTAAAACTTTCAGAAGCAATCACAACTGCGCTGAAGTTTTAATCTCATTTGCTATCTTTTCTTATATATTTCTTACCTTTTCCTATTTTTCTTGCTCTTAAGCAAAATCACAAAATTTCAATTTACATAATACAGGATATATACAGATTATCCCTGTAATTTTTAAGTGTCAGTTCTCTCATCTCTTAAAAAAAATGAAACAAAACCAAATATTGCCAAATTACAAGGAATTACAGATTTTAACATAAGTACAATGCAATTTGAGCATCTTGCTGTGTACTAAATGCATCAGTGACTGTACCTGGATGCTGCTGGAGATATCACTGGTTAGTGCAACATGCAAGACTATCAATGGTTCTCCTGGGATTGCACAGTGAGAAAAAAAGTAGCATCTTCTATATGACCCAACTCGACGCTTCATATCAACCCAGTTCCTAACAGGATGCACAGCTTCAGAACTCAATGAAAAAATAAAAATAAGTAAAATTATTATTTTTTCTTCCAGTTAAAAATAGAGGTCAGCTGCCAAACCGACATGCTCAGTACTTTCCCCATTGATGTCAGTGACAAAACTCTCCAATCAAAAAAGGAGAATCAGACTGCAAGTGAAAAAAGTAAAATTCATCAGCAAACTGTACCTCATACCCACTCTCTCTAGTTTTCTTTGGGATGTGCTTATTACGTATCTGAGATTTCACTTGCACTTACTGTTCAGTATAGGATAGCAGATTGAGATAACAAAGTCACTGAAAGAATATGAATACAGGAATGAGCTTCCCCAAGCTACAGAGTCTGTCAGTGCTCCCACAGCCATGTCTTCAAATAATTACTCAAAATATTCTTTTCTCTATTATATTGAACGCCTAGTGTGTTTGACAAGGTACCTTGAAGATTAAGTAAAATATTACTAATTATTTTTGTTTTGAAGTTAGCTTGTGTAAGATCTCTTTTCTTTGCCTCATCAAGTCACATACTTTCAGAACTCTTTAGAGATTCATTTTTCTTTGAGATTTTTATATGATAAGCTTTTTATATGACAAAATGCCACAAAACATAACCTTGATTCAGTCATCTTCATTGTTACAACTTTCAAATATTTGACAGAAATTCAGAAGCAAATGTAGATTTTTAAGGAATGCTTATAAAAAAGGTGCTCTCTCCACAAACTGTTTGCAAGTGATTCTGCGCACCTCAACAGTTCTAGCCAGGAAGGGGAGTCTCAGTACATGAGAAGTAAAACATGGTCTTGAGTGCTGGGCACCCCATGCTGGATCGGACTTAAATACTGATTCTCCACCAACGCTGGTGGTGCAAACTGAGGGGAGAAGGTGGTGACAGCAGTGACGGAGGCAGCAGCACCTGTGCAAGGAAAGGGAGTGTGAGAAATCTGTGCTGCAAGAATCGAGGTTTGTGGGAAAAGTAACAGCAGCACCTCTGGGAATGTGGGAGGAGTAACTGAGAAGGCTGGAAGAAAAGACAGCAGTCTGTAAGTGAGCTAAAGGATCAAATTAAGGGACAAATGATCCCCTTTACTGTTTACTTAATTCAGTTTTTAAAAGTGTGTCCTTTAGTGTGTTAAATACAACTATGCCTTAATTATACTTTGCCCATGGTTGAGTATTGAAAAGCAGAACCTGGTAAATAGTGGATCTGTGCAGTCACAAGCATTTATTTCATCACCTTTTCATCAAGGATCATTAGCAACTTTTAACACTTACTCACTAATTTTCTGGAGTACCTCACAAGGTGATTGCCAAGTGACCCGCTCCAAGTTTAGGAATCCCGTGGAGAACCACTCTGAAAGCATGCTCTTCAGCACTCCGCTCATTTCCTGCACACAGAAGAAAGATGGATTTATCTGCTAAAATAACCTAGGTAGAACATACAACTGTGAGTAAAAACAACCTTGATTATTTCAAACTACAACACCAGGAAGTTCCAAGGAAACTAATCTGTTTGAGAAAATTAACCACGTAATAGTTCAGCTTTCCTCACACAAGACTAAAACAATTAAAATATTTATTGACATTGTCTATAATAAACTGCAGACAGGGAAAATGAAGATAATGCAAAACAACATATATGAAAAACAGTAAGTAGAAGTGTTTGAGCAGTCTTGACCGTAATGCTGCAGTTGCATAGGTGCTCAGATTTAAATACCATGAAAAAAGTTATGGGAACTTGATGGAAATAAGGACTTGAATTTCACTCTAATTTTCTAACATCTGAATCGGAGTATTCAGCAGTACATGCTTTAGGAAGACTATTAGTACTAGCTTATTAATATAAGAAAGCTAACTCACCAAATTAAAAAACTTCCAGTTCCTATCCATGTTTTGTAAGTCACCTCTACTTTATTAAACATTTTTTCCATTGTTCTTTATGAGAAAGATACAGAATAGCTACTTACTCCTGCACATTCTGCACCATGATTAACACATGGAACTTTCTACTTCTGACAGATTTCCAAGGCAGATCACATACATACTGGAGGTGACTGGAACCCATTACAGGCACATTTAGGCACCAGTAAACAATAAAAATGCTTCAGTTTGGACTTTAGCATGGACTGTAGAACTCAGCACAGGAGCTGCACATGCCCGCTCAGGATGATAAATTAGAAAATTAGTATCTTTTAACAGGGTGCTGATAAAACCATAGGCTTTACAGAATTTTTCTTCTCAGTAAGTACGCACCTTTTTGAGCAAGAAAAACAAAAGCAGCAGCAGCAGACTACAGAACTCAAATATAACAGATTTGGAACAGTATGATACAGAATTAAAGCCAACTGTAATATCAAATACTTTCAGAAACATTCATCATAACGAATTTTATATTTCCTACTAATTTCCTGATGCCTATATTATTAAAGATGTTCCTGTTTAAAATTGTTTTGAGTTTAGATAGCATTCTTGAACTCAGCACAACATGAATATCCCTTAAAGAGATTGTAGAGCTTATTTTTCTTTCTTACCTTTGTATGCAGGACACAGTGTGATACCAGCACCAACTTACCAACAGCCTAATCAGAAACATAGACTTACTAACTCAATAATCATTTATTTAAAAATACTTCATCTTCTATTCAGGCCTTTATTAAATAGCCACTGCTATACATAAAATAGACAAAAAGTATGCTCCAATGTACTGTAGCTTGCTATATTTAAGTAAAGCAAGAAAAGAAAGATGTAAAACTATCCAGAAAACACTACTTAAATCATCCTTCCAAAGCTCAGATGTAGTCTCAGGACTTTCATAGAAAAGAAAAAATATTTCCTATTGTAACCTAACAAAGATTAAAGTCATTGAGGCACTTGTCAAGAGACACACATTACAGAAGGTTCCTGTTGGCCAAAGTAATGGCTACAAGCATTCCAAGACTGGGAAAAAAAAAAAAAAAAAAAAAAAAAAAAAAAAAAGGACAGTTTTATTCTTTAATTCAATGTACTAGAAAAACTAAAATTTTCAAACTCTGACTATGCTTGCAGCCAACTGTGATCAAACACTTCAATCTACACCAATCCACCCACACTTAGAATTAACTCCTCCCATAAAAACTCCTATAGTTGATGGTAATGACAACAGTCATGAAGTTTTCAGCCTAAATTCCTAACAAACCCTGGTTCTTCTCCTTACCCAAAGTGCAGATTCAAATTCTCCTTCAGTTTCCCTTTTTCTTCCCTACTTCTACTAAATTGTGTTAGTGAAATACAAGGTTTTTATTTGGCATCTATCTTTGTTTATGCAGGAATAGCTGCTATACAAATGATCCAGAAGAAAATAGTCATTCATCTGCATAGCAGTTGTCATACATGAAAATTTTATGCTATCTTTCTACTTTTTTTTCAGTAGCATCTTCCAGTATATAAGAAGAGCTTAGTTATTGAAGCATAAATTGACATATACTTCAAATGTGAAAATGTCAATTTTATTGTTCCAAACACAGGGGGCATCCATGAACTCTTCTATGAGGTCAACCCTCCCAAGATTTGTAAATTTGCTATATCATAAACTGTGTTGAAAGTCTTCTGCCAAATTGTCTTCTGTGAAGCCCTACTTCCACCTGCACTTGTAGTACAAGGCTGAACAAAGCCTGCATATGCTAGTAAAATAAAGTTGTTCAACAAATATGAAACTGAAATGACACAAAAAAATAAATTCACCTCAAGTACATTTATAGAGTAAGTAATCTCCACTGAAAAGCAATGGAAGCCACATAATGCATGGCACCAGCATAAAAAGAAACCCCTGAAAAAAATACACACATGTGACTATCTGCAACAAGTACCACTGAAGAACTGGGAAAAAAGAAGGATCACACTGGGTGAAACCCACCCTGGGTATGAACGGTCTTTGCAAGTTTTCACTGACACTGTGATTAAAATATTCTTGCCTCCTCTGTCTCAGAGTAACACTATCCTACACAATAGCAAAGGGAGGAAGTAACATAATAGATTACATTAAAAAGGACCAGATTAGCTATGTCAAAACTTTGCAACTAGGATAATTCAGAGGGACACACACAATATGCCTTCCCCTCCCTAATAAATGGATCCACTGCACATTTATAGCAAGTCTGATGATTTGGGAGGCTTACCAAAACCACGTTATACCTGTGCTACCTTACTACCTCAGAAGAGCAGAATATTTCTATAATATGGCATTACTGTGAAAAATGCATAATCACTGTTGGCTCAGGGCACCTCAACACTTGTCGCACTCTGACAATACATCACTCAACTGCATTTCAAGTAGCTGTAAGCTATACTGGCAAAGCTGTTTTGGCTGAGGCTTCTGGGCTAGCAGATTAAAGAGGAAGCAGCAGGAAAAACAGGCTGCACAGAAAAAGAGCCCAGAATTGTCTGCATTACAGCATCCACAAAAAAGGCTCTTTCTGGCAATCATGCAGGAATTGCAACTCCTGGGCAGCACAACTGAACAGGTACCAGCCTACAACCTCAAGAAGGCTCGCAGTAGCAACAGTTTTATTGGGGAATGATGAATTTTAGTTCAAGTATGCTCTCATATGCAGATTTGTCTTTTTTTTTTTTTTTTCAGTACATTTTTCCTCTCGAACTGTAGAGGTATAAGTGTCCTTTACAAGTATGTTTTGATTGGTTTGTTTATTCTGGTTTTAAGGTACTTCCCTTTGCGAATGGTTGTTTCTGCACAGCTCTGAAGTTTTTAGAAAATAATCATAAATCATTTTGGTCAAATATCCCTTGGTGTAGCCAGAGTCTTCAGGATTGTTTGTTTCGTTTTCCTTTGTAAGGGCAAACTGTAAACCACAAAAATAAGCCAGAGTTGTCAGATCTGAGGTCAAACTAACAGATTCCTGTGGCTCTCGTGTCACCCATCTGTTTTTTAGGACACCATTTCAAGCTGCAGTCTAGCAGCTAGGAGGGAAAACTGCTGATGGCTGCGCTCCTCCTAGTCATTATTTTGCACACACTGCTCTGCAGCTATTGGCAGTAACATGGCTCAGATGGCAACGAGTGACTTGGGAGAAAGCCAGTTACACCACGCAGAAGCTGGTAAAAGTGGAAAACACAAGAATCATGCATTTTGCTTCTCTGAAGCACCTACAGACTTAGCAAACATGCTCCATACAACAGGACATAATGATGCCCAACTGAACCGAAGGCTGCTTTTGAAGATGTGGAACGCATTATAGAGCTACTTTAGGTCCAAGATATAGCTGTATAAAAGCAACGCAATTGTAACCACAGGAGAAAGTGAAGCAGATGTGCTCTCAGTAATGATTCTGGAAGACAGGAATATTGTTTATGGGGAATTACAACTCAGTTCAAATAATCTGTCAGCTGTAAATAATAATGCTCTATAAAACAACAGGGCAGCTTGCAGGCTGAAGAATTAGAATAGTTCCAGTTGGAAGGGAGCTACAATGACCATCTAGTCCAACTGCAACTGTGTATGTTGACAAAACTTCTTAGTGTAGAAAGACATAAAACACTTTATACCATCCAAAACTGCGTTTAGCAAAAATTTGGGTTGTGTTCAATACCATAGTATAGGCTAAATTTCTGAAAGGCTAGACTCCAACAACGACAGTCTCAAGTTAGGTTCTTTTATTTTGTAAATTTAATGATAAGTAAATTCTTATTTTGATTTCCGAGGCCTTTCTAGTATAGTAAAAAGAAAAAAAGCACACATTTATTATTGAGTATCCCAATTTTAAATCTGAACAAGACATACTCAGATTAGTATTTAAAATTACCAGCTATTCAGTTTCTATTATCTGAGTATAATGAATTGTGGATTTTTTTTTTTATTCTACGTTCTTGTTACAAGACAGCAAATTATAGGGTTTTTAATCTTCAAAACAGGTCCTTATTTATTGGGCAACAAATGGGAAAACCTTAAGAAAAACTCAATTCTTTTTAGTAAGAAAAGCTGCTTGTCTGATGAGGGAACTATTTCAATTTCCCCTCTTAAACCACTAAAAAATAAAATACCCCTTACAATGAAAATTCATATGCAGATATTTACAGATAAACATAATATGAAACAGCAGTAACTAACACCCCATGCATATCAAACAGATGGCTCAGTTACTGTTAGTTGCTGGTTACATATCCGACAGGGCTACAAGAGAAGTATTCTGCCAGCCTCACAGGAGCCCATCTTTTTTTGAAGCATTTGAAATTTTTAACCTGGTATGCTTCATTTGGGCATACTAACTTACAGATCTACTCTGGTATTGCCAAGTGTTTAGAGGTGTCTTAGCAGGTTGGTTTTTTGTTTTGTTTTTTTTTTTTTTTTTACAAATTATCTTCAAAATATACATTCAGAATACCCCTGGTGAGATAC